TTATTAATTTTATTCTTAAGTAACACACAAAGAGGATTTAATGTCTTGCAATTGAGAAGAGATAGATAATAAGAGAGAGTTTGAATTAGTATCATCGTTCGAATTGATCATATTATTTATCAATGAATTAAACGAGTTGATTAGAGTAATTATGTTATTTTGTAAATGTAGATATTTGGCATCGTTTGTAGAGAATGTAATTCCTTTCTTGTATTTGGAAGTAGTGGGGATATTTAAAACCAAGGGGGAGTGGGAGGGGGAAGTATGCTGAGGTTCTCCTGGTTCATTCGAAGCCAGGGTGACCTCGGGAGAGGAGTAGGATGAATCAAGGGGGGGGGGTGCGATCTAGGGAAGGAGGAGTTAAGATGGTTGGGGAGGAGGAGGAGGATGAGTTAGCTTTCTTTTTTGTGGGAATTAAAAGATTGATGATATTTTTATGTAAGAAGGAAAACTTTTTGTTGTTATTGTTATTCTTGTTAGGATATTTGAATGACTGTAAAATAGTAGGAAAGTTATTTTTATCCATGAAGTCATTGGAATGGGTTGTATTGCACTTGTCCGATAACATATCGCTGTAGGATGAGGACATTGAAGGAATAGGGAGCGGTGCACTTGGACACGGTGCATTTGGACACAGCCAATCACAGCACCGTGTGGTTAGAGACATTTGTAGGGTCCCTTGGAATAGCGACTTGTGATTGGACTGTGTCCAATTGCCTCGTGTCCAACTGATATACACCCGAAGGAATATGCTTAGAAATGAGTTAAAGCATTCTCGGTTGCGGTTGGATTTTTGAAGGCAAAGAGGATCCTCGAACCAGGAGGAAGGAATCACATCCACATACCTTCTGTAAAACTCTCCTGCATCCCTGTTGCTAATCCCGAGAATGGTCATGAGTTGCTTGATCTTTCTGTTTTCAACGAAAACAGGACAAGTCTGGCTATTGGCTGAATGAGCCGAATCTTCTAACCTTTTCCTAGTACAATTTATGCATTTGGAGAGCAGGGAGGAACACTCTGCCTCACAGTGTCCAACAACAGCGCACTTGGCGCAAATTCTCGAAGATTTAGTGCTACGACACTGTTCTTCAACATGTCCGAATCTTTGGCATAAGTGACATCTTATAACCTTTTGAATATAAGGCTTTAGATTGATAATTTTCCCGTACAGGGAGGCTCTATCTGGGTAAATAGATCCTTCAAAGGTGATTATATACGCAGATGCTTTCCTTCTGCGTGGAGTTTCAGAGTTTGTACGATCAGATGTTTTGTCAGGCTTGGAGATACCTTTAACTGCCACGACTTTTGGCCATGAGTCCAACCAGCCAGGCGGAGGAGAGAGGTTTTCTTGGATTTCCTCATCACTGTCAAAATTGTTGATATCCCAGGAAATGCAGGAACGTTGTATTTTGTAGTTAGGGATATACGCTATCCAATCTGAATGCGAGAACAGAAGATCTCTCATTTCCATAAATCTTCTTACTATGGAATTAGCAGCGTCTCTGCTATTAAATTTAACAGAGAATTTGCTGCGACCAACATTTTTTAAATCATATGCTTCATTCCAAAGATCTTTCATTATTTTGAGCGCCGCTTTCCCCAACTGAAGCTCGCTAACAATGGAGGACTCTTGACAAGCAGATAATGATTTGGAAGAGATGAACCCTTCGATACGTATCTCGAACGGACCTAAGTGTGAAGGAGGGTATTTATTATTGCTTAATTTAAGCAAATGTGGAGGCACGTCTCTGTAGGGCCGTTTTTTCTCTTCATCACTGAATGAGTTAGACTCAGATTGCGTGGAGTCATTTACTATATCTTCGCACAAGGCGTTAGATTTTCGTTTGGTGGACGCTCTGGCTGTGGTTTTAGTGGTTGCGTTTCGATTGATTACCCGACAATTTCCCGAAAAGTAGAGGGGATAACGTTGGCACTAACGAAAACTTCTAGGCAACCTAATTTTAATTTCTGCGGATTAATATTAGGACCTTAACTTAGTTTCCGCCCGCAAATGTTAGATGGCAATGCAAACAGTTCTAGTAGTCATTACTAACATTGAATAAAGAATACCATTGGTATTCGAAGTCTCTCGCAATTGCGAGTCTTTCTCCGCAGTCAACTTGGGTGACGTCATCTTGTATTGAACCAACGGCAGATAAAGAGCCAGACAAAAACTGATGTTATCACGATGTAGACGTAGAGAATTATCTTTATTTCCAACGGAATCTTATAAGATTCACGTTTTAAGAATCGATTAAGATCTTTCGGTTAAGAAGTTCGCTATTATAACAACGATTTATGACGATTTTTAAGAGGACTTAACAAATGCGACTAAGTACAACTGTTGCCAACGTCTCTGAAAACTGGCAGGCTACTACTTAAACAGTGTTATTAGGACCTTAACTTAGTTTCCGCCCAAAAAATACTGAGAAAAAGCATTTATTGTAAAAAATTTATTTAAATTATTTCAATGAAAGTATTTTCCATCACTTTCTACAACTTTTTGCCATCTTTCTGGCAACTGGGCGATACCATCTCGATAAAACGATGTTTGTTTCGAAGCAATCCATTCGTCCACCCATTCTCGCACTTCTTCAACATTTCGGAAGCGTGTACCACTCAAGCCGTGCTGCATCGATCTGAACAAGTGGTAATCAGAAGGCGCTATGTCTGGTGAGTACGCTGGGTGAGGAAGAGTTTCCCATTCGAGCTGCGTCAGTGTTTCTTTGACGGTTTTTCCAGTGTGTGGCCGAGCGTTATCGTGTAAGAGAATAACTTTGCGCCTGTTACTCGCTATTGCTGGTCTTTTTCGCAACAGCTCATCATTCAATTTGTTCAATTGACATTTGTAGACATCGGCAGTAACAGTTTCGTTTGGTTTCAGCAGTTCGTAGTACAGCACTCCTTGCTGATCCCACCAAATGCAAAGCATTACCTTATGACCGTGGATGTTCCGTTTTGGCTGCGATGTTGATGGTTGTCCTGGGTCTACCCATGATTTTTTGCGTTTGGGATTGTCGTAGTAGATCCACTTTTCATCGCCAGTCACAATACGCCACAGAAAACTCTTCTTTTTTTGCCTGGCAAGCAACGAAACCGTGATATTGAAACGGTTGTGAATGGCACTTTCAGACAATTCATGTGGTACCCATCTTCCTTCCTTTTGGATCTTTCCCATGGCGTGTAAACGTTTGGAAACAGCTGCTTCAGTAACTCCTAGCTCGTTTCCAAGTTCTTGTAACGTTCGAGCCGAGTTTTCATGCAATAATGCTAGCAATTCATCGTCTTGGAATTTTTTTGGCTGTCCTGAGCGTGGTTTGTCATTGACATCAAAATCATTACTTTTGAATCGTCTATACCACTCTTTACATGTTGTATGTGATGGAGCTCGATCACCATAACCTTCTTCAAGTAATCGATGAACTTCTGCTACACTTTTTTTCAAATCAAAATAGTGCAAAAGCACATGTCGAAAAAACACTTTATCGCGTTCCATTTTTCACAAAGCAAAAGAAATTGTTGTTTAGGAAAATAATTGTGTATGCTGACTGAATGTTATCGAGAAATGTCGAAATTAATCACAAACTACCTGTTTCGTTAGTAATGACTACTAGAACTGTTTGCATTGCCATCTAACATTTGCGGGCGGAAACTAAGTTAAGGTCCTAATATTAATCCGCAGAAATTAAAATTAGGTTGCCTAGAAGTTTTCGTTAGTGCCAACGTTATCCCCTCTACTTTTCGGGAAATTGTCGGGTAATCAATCGAAACGCAAATACGTTTCATGCCAATTTCGGCTGTCACGAACATTGAATAAAGAATACCAGGAAGGAGCATAAGTAGAAAATCCTTTGTTAGAAGTGCGAAGGATGTGACGTAATGAAAATGAAAATGTGATTATCGATACTATGGAATCGAAGTAAATTTTATGACGTAATATTGTCAATTAATCGAATAGACAAAGATGCGTAAACATATTGAAGAGAAAATTATTATTACAAGTGACTAATTTTATTTTCTTCATCAATATGAGCAAAATATAAATACAATTTTTCTACTATTCTTTTAAAATTAATATTCCTTTGCTATATACTTCCAAGATATTTAAAGTATACCGCCAGACAATGGCCGGTATTCATAGTCAGATCTTATATTTAAGATCAACTTAAATACTGTCTTAAGATGTCATGAACCAATCACAGAGATATTCGCATCTTAAGACATTACTTAAGACGATCTTGAAATAAGATTCGACTATGAATACCGGCCTATGTTTCTGGTAACTACGTCACTTATGACGTAGTTTACGTCAGGAGCGGTGCACTTGGACACGGTGCATTTGGACACAGCCAATCACAGCACCGTGTGATTAGAGACATTTGTAGGGTCTCTTGGAACAGCAACTTGTGATTGGATTGTGTCCAATTGCCCCGTGTCCAACTGATATACACCCGTTTACGTCAAATTGAACGGGAGCGTCCCGATTGACTACGGAACGATTGGACACAACCAACCGATGCAAACAATTATCTAGTGAATTACCAGGTCGAACTAATCATTACAATCTGTGCCGTGGTCAATCGGATCTCACCCAAACTAAGGGCCGTGGCACACAGAAAACTTAAGCAGTAAGACGTAAGTAGTAAGCAAATTGACCAATCACAGTCGTTGATTCTTCTTATGGTCCAAGAATCAACGACTGTGATTGGCTGATTTACTTACTGTTACGTCTTACTGCTTAAGTTTTTCTATATGCCACCAGCTTAAAGCTCATTCTACAATTGCATGAACGTAGAGTAAGTGGTTGTAAGTGATTACGACAACCAATCAGAGTAAAGAATCAGTGAATAAAACATTCGGATTGGTTGACTCTTACGATCACGACTACGCTTACGCAATTGTAGAATGGGCTTAAGGGCTGATTGTTTCAACCTTTTGGTAAGTTACCTTACAGGTTAATCATGTGTTTGTCTCTGTCCAATTTGAAGAAAAAAACGAAGACAGACGTATGATTTAACTTTAAGAGGTAGCTTACCAAAAGGTTGGAATAATCGGCTCTAAACCAGTGCAACACAATCGATTACCCACGATATATCGCAACACGCTCCTTCCTGGTATTTTTTATTCAATGGTCACGAGTGACAGTTGTAGTGAAAGGGCCACTGCAACCAAAGAGAGAAAGATGAGCGAGAGTTTGTCCGTATGTTATGTCAAGAGGTTAATTTACGTAAAAAGTTAATTACGTTAAGAGGTTAATTTACAGTATTACACGGTATTATATTTATATGATTTAATGTTGCTTGTGTCGTGATATTTTCAGAGAAGAGATAAGGATATCACATCAGATAAGTATCGTTGAATATAGAAAAATATATCTAAAGAATGAAGAATTCGAATGCTTTGTGTCGTTTTTAATCTTTGCAGTTATAGATCTAATAATTATGAAAGAGAAGAAGAAGGACAGAGAACGAGAATAGAAAATAGAATGCAGACAGATGAAGAAGAAGAGGAGACTGAGATAGACAAAAAGGATGTATGAGTGAGTGAGCCAACATTGGTGCATCATTGCACTTTTTCTCTGTATACTTTTACAATTGGATAAGTATTAAAAGGAAAGTATAGTAATACAGATTACAAGATTAAATTTTCAATAATTCTAATTTTTCCAAATGCAGGATGCATCACTAAATATGTTATAGGCTAATATTTCTAAAACTGAACGAAATATGAAATTCTTGTTTTCTAGTAACAGTTTGAAACATGCATAATATACATAATATGCATAATATGCATAATATAAGAAGCGATAATTCGATATCAAATAGTCACTGCAAAATAAGAATTTCATATCTCGTTTAATATCACAAATATTAGCCTGTACTGAATATCTGTAGTGACATTCTGTGTATTTAATTTGCGTTTCTTTATAGTTTATATTTTTTTATACTTATATTTTATTTATTATTAATTATACTTTCAAGTTATTGAAAAATTTTATTTAAAATATATTTTACATTTCTAATATTAACACTTTGTATATAATCATATTTTCTAGGCATACATTACAATATGAATGTCCGAGATCTTGGCAACTTTAAATTGCTACAGTTTTGTTGAAAATTAATATTGTTTATAAATTTTTTTTCCAGAATGGAAGACAGAAAAAGTTCAAAGTATAATATACAATGTACAAATAAAATAAAAACCAATATTCGTTTGGATCTCATAGACACAAATTATATGTGAAGTGTTATTACTAAAAAAGATTAGATATTTAAATTTTCCTCATAACATGTGATATTAATGTTATCAATATTATATAACCCACACAGCAGAAATTTCCAAAATATACTATAAGGATATCATTGAAACGTTCCAATATTTTAGATTATCATAATGATGTATTGAACATTTCTGCTATCCCAGATAGCACATGATATTCTGACAATATTTTGAGAATATTCTAAAAATGTCATATCTGATATATGTAGGATATACTTCATATATAGGGTGGCCCACTAAAAACGAAACAAATGTGATTTTTGGTATTTAACCTAATTTATTTGAAAAACGCTCGGACGCGTTAACTTTAGTTTTAAGGGGGATATGTTAATTAGTTATTTTCGTATGTTAAACTTCAACCCCATAAGAGGCGCTTATTTCACCATAAAAATTTTAAATGACAAAGGGTGTCTAGCAACATATTATTTAAAAGAGCGATTAATTCGCTTTACAATGATGTATTATTTTTTTAATTACAATCGGCCGGCCATTTTTCAGATAACACAAAATTAGACATGGTCCATAATCCAAAGTTGAATACAACAATCCTTGCGTAATTAGGTGGTCACATACGAGCGTCCATGAATGAACTAAGAGACTTGGAAACTGTGGTCAACAAATACGAAATAGACCTGGACTCTTTGACCTTCAATGACGAAACATGCCGACATGTGTATTGATATGAGCCGAAGGCACATTGAACATTTATTGTAGATTTAATTTATTTTCTATTTTTCACAGAACAAAATGCTTCATAACTCAGAAATAAAAGGTTTTCGGAGTACTGTTCATTAAGACTTTTTGGTTTGTTTTAACGAGTACTACATACCCCTAAAATTTGGCATCACCTTTTGAGAATACCCTGTATTTATATATATATATATATATATATATATATATATATATATATATATATATATATATATATATATATA